CTCTCTCTCTCTCTCGCTTTCCCCTCGCTGTCACACACACCCACAATGGGAGGGTAGCAACAAGGCCAGGGATTGTGGAGATAGGCTGGGGCTGCCGTGCTGTAAAACTAGGCCACTGTTTCTCTCCACCAGAGGTGCTGGTTGCCGAGATATTGGGCCCTAATTGTTATTAAGCGTAACCCAGTTTACCCAGTAACCAGGTGACTGCTGGAAAGAGGCGCTCCCCGCAGGACACAACACCGACGGTCTCCCAAAGGACAATGAAGACAGTGAAGGGGGGGAAGTGAGTGGTGGCAAAAAGGAGAGAGGTGATGAAGAGAGTGCCATTCTGCTTCAGGGAGCTCACGTGCTGGACAGATTTTGATAAAAAGCGGCGGGGTGTGTGTTGTGTGTGTGTGTGTGTCCACGCTCTGCTCTGTTGTGACCCAGACTCAAACCTGTACCCAACCTTTTCTTTTGTCTGCGCCTTCCGGTTGCTGCGGCAACAGAGCCTGAGAACCACGAGGGAGGGCGGGACTGAGAGCGAGAGGAGCGAAGAGACGCAGGCCTGAGAGTTTTTTAAATGTTGCAGCTTTGACACAAACACACACACACACACACACACACAGATTACCCTGTCATTTCAATACAGTCATCTGTCGTCTCTGAGATCTTACTGCTTGTCATATAAACTTTTAACTACTTCCTGTTGAATATTATTCTTTTTACTGCAACTGCATTAGCAATAAAAGACACAGTCATGAATGAGCCATTAGGTATTTTTACGACATGCTTTCAGTGTTACAGCACATACTCACTCATGGCTGAGCTCCATTCATTTTCAGTTTGCTTTAATTAGCCCATAGCCATGTCACCATATTACAGTATCTGAACAAAACACTGTTACAATACAACCTTTGAACTACATCTAATCATCACGCGGCCTAAATAGTATGTTTAATGAATCACAAAGCAATCACATTTATCCTCCAGAGTGCCCCTTCTTTTGAAGTTGCCACAATTTCCAGTTTATGGAGCTAATCTGGCCTACAGCCTCTCTTAAATAGTTTGAATATCTGTCCCCGTGTTTCACCGTACCTGCCTGATTCCATTCATAAAAGTGCAATGTTGTTACTTATTTCCTCACTTCTTCGCCTTTTGCTGTGGTGGCGATTCAGTTTCAAGTTCATATGACTTTCTCTTTTTCTTATTTTCTCTTTTTACCAGGATTTCACTGTACTAACTTTCATGCTGACGTTACACTAAAATATACCAATGATGCTGTTTAAATGGAAATAAGCTCATTTATAGGTGTACACACCTCACTCTCTCACTAAAGCTTAATAAAACAAGCTGGTTATCATCGATGTAAGTAGCAGAGGCTCATCTGTTGTTGTCAGGGTGTTAAAGTGGAGTCTTTACCATGACCAAGAGATATACGACAGGAGGACAGCTGTCATTCATACACTGATGTGAGTTGTTTTATATCGACCCTCTCTCATTCTCTTGTGTGTATACGGGCCCTTGTGAAGTGTCCAGCTGCTGGAGTCCTGCAGACAGATGCAGATGTGGATCAGACACGTTCACCACGGACTCCTCTGCTGTGCCAGTGTATGTGAGGTGGACTTTAGTGCTGGGAACACACCTCCAGCTCTCAGTGGCAGAGGAAACGTCGGATTATAATTCCTCCTTCGTGTTCATACTCTGATCTAAGAGTTTGCTAATGCCGCTAAACCTGCGCAGCCGCATTTAGCTCCATACAAAGTCCACATCGAGAAATACGAGTTAGAGGACAAGCCAGCTCGTGTCCGGATTGATTTGTGTGGACAGAAGTTGTTTTATTCTGCTTCACCAGAGCTTTATGGCTGCCATGTCAAGGACTCCCTCTCTGCACAATTCCTCGTGTTGACACTCTTCCTACCTGCATGGAGTCGGCGCTGATTATTTCTCCCTGAAGCCGTTTCCCGATCTCGATCGCCAGCTTGGACTTTCCGGTGCCGGTAGCTCCCAAAATCACCACCAGCGACGGGACCATCGCTCTCCGTAAGGCACACTGCACGCTGCGAGCGGACGCCGCCATGATGCTGCTTCCTCGGCGCCCAGCTGACAGCCGCGCGCATGCGCAGCGGAAGCAGCGATGAGAGGTGGGCTCTGTTACCAGGCAACGGGCAGCCGTTACTGTGGTAACATTGATTGACGAGAGATCATGTGGGGAGTGTTTTCGTCTTCGGATGCTAAATAAATGTAGTTATTATAACATGTTAGTCTTACTGGTGTAAATGAAGCGTTCTGATTGGTTCCTGCAGCTGTGGTTAAACTGGTTTAAAACCAGTTCAGTTTAGAAATGATCTCCACTCAATAAGGCGTCTGAACGGACTTATGTCTCCTTGTTGGTGCTTTTGTGAACAGATCGGATTGCTGATGACATTTACAATGTTTATGATATGCATTTACGGGAAGGGTAGCAGAATAGTTATTGTTTCTATGGAAACTGTCAGAGCTCTGCAGCCGTGAGCAAAGATGCTTGTTGCCATGGCAAAGATGCCAGGATGGGTTACCTTGGAGACTGCTCAGAATAAATGGTGGATGGGGAGAGGGAGATGTGTGTTCACTCATACAGGTGGTTTTAATGGAAAACAAGTGTGTGCAATACAATACTCTAGTCCAGAATAAGGTGCTGGCTTTAGATTAAGCTATATCCAGCTAAGAATTAGAACAAATGTATGCGCCTGGATTATCATTACTATCGCTGCGTGTGTGAAAGAGACAAACAGATAAGACAAACAGGTCATTTATGATGTCAAACCATGAGTTTATTATTTTTCTGACTTACTCTTCATACACAGAGGCTTATGAGGTACAGAAAAAAACAAAGTGCTGAGGCAAGGCTCCAAAATCACCATAGTTGAACTCCCAAAGTAAGTAAGCAACGTCCACTGCTACCATGACTGTGCCAACAGCAGAGACCAGTGACCAATACAAGTCAAATCATTTTTTTTTCTTTTTTAAACTGGGGCACGAAACCACTGCTGTGGTGCCACCCCTATTGGGAAAAAAAGTAAAACAGGGGCTAATGGTGTTTGTGCTGAAATTTAATTAAGCAGATAAACATATCCCCGGCTAAATTCAGGGAGACGTAATGACTAAAAGGGGGGAAATTAATGATATCCTTAAGTATTTGTTCTACCAAGTACATCATGATTCCTCTGATCGACTGCTCCCTTTCTGTCTTGTGTGGGTCCGGTGTTATAGTGTTATATAGCATATTACAGCAGGGGGTGTTTTCCTGAGTGCTGGTGAGAGCAGGGCTTGCTACTCGTCATGATCGAGTCATTTACAGTACTAGTGGACAGGGCTACAGTGTTCTCTGTTCCATGGCTATGGGACAATAGGGAGCACCAGGTTCAGAGAGAAACAGTGAACATTAAGGTCACTAAGGCCTACCAGCACAGCCAGAAGTTTTACATCGGCTAAGAGTCCCTCTTTAAAGTCCCCCCCTCCCCTCCCCTCCCCTCCCCTCCCTACCACCCACACCAGATTTAACAGAGTGCTACAGCTAGAGTGATTGGATTGAATACAGGAGGGAGCGTTCAGGTGCTTTTCACTCCCAGAGAGAAAGCAGAGCATACATGCCAATTTTCAGCACATAACCACCAATAAAGCCCTGCCAGCTACAATAACAAAAACAGTCATTAGCTCACACTGAAACACAACTCGGTAGGAAAATATAGTATAAAACTTTTGTCAACTCTGACTTGTACAAATAAAAGAAACCCCAGAGACAGAAAATGTAATGAACATTAAAGAAAACAAGTAGGCATTGCAAAAAAATGTGGTGACAAAGTGGCTAGTGTGATCAATGTTCAGTAAGTGTTTTATTTAGACTCTTTTTCATAATCATTTTATTAACAAAAATAGAAGCTTTGAGTTATCTTTGAAAAGCCAGCAAGCTTGGCCCCAGTTTAGGACGCAGGGCCGAACAAAAACTAGGATGAGTATAGTAGACAGCTCTGGTTTTGGTTTGGAAGGGACTGTACAATATGGGTACTATATACATAACATCCAACAGGATAGTCTACATACATTGAAAGGCTTCTATAGGCATTACATTAAATGCAAACAAAAAAAAAAAACAAATATATCAGACAGCAAGATGAAAGAAATGTACAGTTGGAACTCAGTGGGCTTCATCTCCGAGCAAAACTTGGCATTGTTGATGTTGCTTAAACATACAGATTCAATTTAAGCCATTCTCTAAGAGTTTATTTTGGTTGATCATATGAAGCCACCCATTCATCTCTTGGCTGGTCTCCATGGCACAACAATAATAGAGATAGAGTGAAATCTTGATAATGATCTTCATAGTGTTTTTTGTTTTGCAGATGTTGACTGAAAAATCAGATCAATCTTACACACTGCCTGCGTGGCAACATATTTTCTCATGTCCTCCAAATAATGCTACAGAAACAGGCTGTTATTATGGGCTTGGTTTTGTGGTGTTATGTTAGAAGACTGAATGGAAACCTGCAGGCACAGAGGTTAGGACTTAACCTGAGCTATACCAGAGGTGCAGAACATATTGTATCCGTCCAGTTGTAGCGTTATTGTTGCATGGCTCAGTTCAGTCCCACTACAGTCCCACAGTCCCCCCCCCCCC